GTGACATTTGCAGTCAAAACTTGAAATATAAATTCTCAGAAAATGCATTTAATACTGAAACGTCTGTTTATATATTCATACTCCCTTAAGGCGGGCTTACACAGTGCGATTTTTTGCTGTTTTACGAGCTCGCAGATGATTTTTTTCACTCGGGAGAAATCGCGTGGAAATCGGTTGTGCTCGCATGTTGCGGCTCGTGTCGTGTGCTAGGAAGATACGAGCCGAGCCAAACCTCTCGACCTCACGATAATTTTTAAACATGTCTAAAAAGTTCGGGAGCTGTAGGCTTGAATTCGTGAGGTGTGTGCGCTGTGCAGTTGAATGAGCCGATTTGTCGATCTATCTGAATTTGACAAATCAGGAGCTGAAGAAATCCACAGAAGAAAGACAAAAATGGCAGCGCGCGAATTTGGACTATTGAAAGGGAAGCCTACAACTTTATTATGATTTTAGTATCATATTGATTAATAAATGCATGCACAATTATCAGTGAACTTGATAAATGTTGCAGATATGTTTTACTATGCACAAACAAATGCCTTTCAACTTGTGTGCAAAATTCTGAATTAAATGAATGTGCAGCAATTTGTACAAATAGAGTCTGTAGCCTATATTTGTTGTAGCCATAATAAGCGCATTTAGTTTCATATTTATTATAATGTTTTTTTTCCATCTATGTTGATTATGAAAAGTATAGCCTACACAATATATCGGGGAAGACATGGCCAGACATGATTTTGACCACTTCATTAAGTGTTGTTTTGTAGAAAGCCTTTCTTTAAAGTGAATTTCGTTTTGTATAAATCTTAATTTTAATAAATTTTTCATCAACCAATTGACTGGATTTAATTAATAAGAAGCAAATATAGCTGGATTTACAAATGCACATCTTGATTGTTGCGTTCACACATATGTCGAAATAACGACATAACCACAACAATCATCAAATTGTCCAGGCTTGAGACTGTTAATACACATAACACAAAATATTCTTTTTATTTTTTTCGTGTCGCATTTATGAGGGAAATTTTTTTTTACGGACGTGACAGTTCTCTGTTACGGACATGGCTCGGACATGGCCGCTCTGAAAGTGACTAAAACTTTTACAGAGACCTCAAACAGAAAGCACAAAGCCTTTCTTTAAAGTGAATTTCGTTTTTTATTAATTGTATCTTAATTTTAATCAATGTTTCATTAACCAATTGCCTGGATTTAATAAATAAGAAGTAAATATAGTAGAAAATTATCATGACACGGAGGCGACGGCGCGTGAACTGGACTCTCGTCTAATAAATGAACCGAAACTCAGCATAGCCTAAGGTAGGCTACTTGCCTCACAGACAGACCTGATAAAAATATAGAAAGCTTGACATGTCTACTTTTTAACAGAATAATTCAAAACAAAAGAAAACAGACTACAGACTCTGCTTCTGTAATTCGTATGAAATGTGCATTTCTCTCTGGCGAGTTCACTACTGCGAAGATGCGAGTCAGCATCATCACCTTTATATTTGCAGCCACACTGACAAAGACTTGTTTATTAATAAACAATTAAAATGTCCCCTTGAAATTATTCATAGTCATTATTTTTGCCGGTTCTTTGTGGCAGCTTTAAGATACTGTATTGGCAGCGCCACCCTTACATTTTACATGAATGCGTCACCACTGCATCAGCACCGAAAACATGATTTTTATTTTTTTATTTTTTTATCAAAAATCGTGATACGAACCGAATTGTTGGTTTGGTCTATCGTTACAGCCCTAGCAAGATGAGAAAGCAGGAGTTTAGTCGTTTATCGTGGAATGGCTATCTGAACTTCTTTGCCAAGCGGAAACCAGTACAGAAGTAATCAATAAATTATCGGGGAGGGTCATGCCTTTTTTCACAATCATTTTGGAGGGTCATAGAAAAAATTATTGCTGGCGAAGGGAGGGTCAAGTCTTTTTTGACTACAGATCTCAAATCTCCTCCGGTGGCCCTTTAAATAAATAACGAACAGTCCCTAAGTCAGAAATGAGGCCGCTTCTCGCAATGCAAAGTCAATGGAGACCGTTGGATTGTTTGTGGCCGTGGTTTTCAGATTATGTCGCTCTGTTTCTATCTCAGTGTGTGCCATGTGAAATATAAAGCCAGGGGCCTTTGCAAAGGTCAGCGGGGTTGAGGTGCAGACAGAAATAAAGCAGCACTGATAGTAAGTGTGTGGAAATGGAAATCCTCACACTATGGAGTTACTGATACACTAAGAGCACTTCGCAGAAATCCATTATGAGCTGTGACCTTTTGCTAACCCTGCCTTGAAACGTTAAAAGAGCACAAAGCAAGTAAAGCCTTGGTTGTGTTTGTGTGTGACTTGAGTCGCTGTTATTATGCTGATATCATGGTGACCTTGATGTATCGATGTATGTAAGTGTGTGTCTGAGCAAGATTATTACAGATTATGTGGGTGTGTGTGTGTTTTACAGTGTATTAGCATGATAGACTTCTGTAAAGAATTAGTAAATAATAAATGTTTTCATATGTATAAGAAACAATAGATCAAATATATCATGATAAAGTGAGAAAATGGTAAGAAATAAATCACTGTTAGATAGCAAGATGTTTTTTTAATGTTTCTTGAACTATGGAGACTTCATATTTGTCTTTCTATTTTATTAGGATCATATTTTAAGATATTTCAGTGCACGTTTCTTTCAGTTAAAACAGCTCAAACATTAATTTTAGTCTGGACTAGGCTTAAACCTTATCTGTGAAAACAGGGGTATATATACATAATTATTAATTTAATGAGCATTTATCCAGTTAGTCATTAGAAATTTAGGCATAGGCATATACATCTATTCAATTTCTGTACTCACTAACCAATGAGTTCATCTGACACTTATCACTGACTTTATTTGCATAAATTGAAAGTGTAGATATGGCAGCCAAGCTTAATGAGATTCTCAAGTGGCTTACAAAGTCTTTTCACATTCAGTGAGGTTGAGCAGAGAAAGCTTCTCAGGAAAAAGGGCTTTTATGGTCTGTGTTTGTCCCTGTTAGCGGCTGTGTTGGTCAATGCTTCAAGAAGAGACAGCAAGCTGAAGAAGAGCATGCGTTTATTGAACCAAACAGAAGATCAAGAAACGGACAATGAGTTTCCCAAACAGCACTTTTAAAATGAGAGAATCTATACTGTGAACAATGCGTTTGAAGGGAAAGAAATATAATTCTGATAGCTATATATATACATACTGTATATATATATATATATATATATATTCCATGTTTCCTCCAAACAATATTTTCTTAATTATCAAGATAGGCACATGAAAGGTCATTGAGCAACATTTATTAATTGTGTGTGCCAGAAACACGTTCATTCAACAGAATCTCTGCTTGGAGAAAATTACCTGTTTGATTTTGGCCAAATTAAAGTTACACTAGCTAGGAATCTGCATATGTGGTGCATACAGAATTGAACAGGTCACACAAACCTTTTAAATACATTTGTCCTTGGGTTAAAGAAAACTGAGGAATATTTTGGACGGCAGCCTCTCAATTTAGTACTTAAAATCTACAATTATTAAACATTTAAAGGTGAATCCAGTTTTAGGGGAAGGGAAGCTGATGTGCATTCTAAAATGCAAAATTATTTGGATAAACCTTTTTGGATAAAACATTGTTTTTCTTAAACAACGGTGTTACGACCCGTGAGGTCTCTCTGTGTTGTGTTTGTGTTGTTGTGGGTGTGGTCTGTTTCGCCTGCAGGGGTGTACCCGTGTCCTGAGCCTGACGTCATGGGAAATCCCGCAGCTGGAGTTAATCCGCGGCAATTAGTGAGACGAGTAAACTGAGCCAGTGAAGCGCTCTCGCTCTCTCTCTTTTTCCCTTGGTGGCCCGCATCCCTCCGGTGTAAACTACTGTGTGAGAAACTGTGTGAGAAACTGTAAACTGCAGCGTGAACTGCTGTGTGAGTTTATGGTGTGGGCAACGGCGGGACGTGATCTGCCGAGTGCTTGGTCTTCATTTCGCGTCACACTGTGCGTCTGGTTACCTTGGGGAAGCAGCTGGAAGGCGGCGTGGTGAGCAGCAGACGGTGCACTTTTTCCCGAGTGTGCTTTAACGCAGTGGAGAGCCGTGGAGACTGTTTGTGGTGTTGCATACTTTTCATTTTGAATGCCATGTTAATGACACCTCTCGTATACTTTTGATAGGAGGTTATTTATTTTGTTTGGAATAAACACATGAATCTGACACATGTTTTGGGTCATCCTTGGTTTTCCACCTGGAACAATTATTTATTTTGTTCGTCCCTTACCCCCAGACATATCAGGGACGTAACAAAGGTGGGGGCTCGTCCGAGATAAATTACTTCTGGAACACCAGGATGCTTAATTCATGTTTCAGGTTGGATGTATAGTGATTAAGCCTTAAATTAACTGGTAAATGCTGTGTGTATGTGTGTGCATATGTATACGTATAGCCTATATATACATATACTTCTTTTTTGTTTTTGTTGGTGGTTGCCGTTTATGGTAATGTGGTGATTGATGTTAATCCCGAGTAAAATATCCACTTGACCGCTTCCTCAGCTTAGTGCACACTGCGTGAAAAGAGCTGTAATCGGGCATGTAAAACTCCTGAGTACTCCTGTGTACTCCACAAATAAACGGATGTGTACGGGAGTTTGCTGTCCCGTCACACAATCCCGAATACTCCTGGATATGTACCAAGTTTGGGGCACAGCAGGGAGCCACTAGGGCCATCAGTTACCATGGTGAATAATCCCCCGGTTGGGGTCAATGCCAGGGAATATTAGCATTTCACACCTTTGGGACACAAGGCAGTGGCCTCCTTCAATTGGTCAGAGATCTTACGGTCGGGCCAGCAGGATTGGGTGCTGAATGCTTTCCCCCTCCTCTAAACCCTCTAAACTCCTCCTCTAAAACCCTAAACCCCTCCTCTAAAACCCTAAACCCCTCCTCTAAAACCCCACACTATGGGTCCAGTTTAAGGCCTTATTTGGGTTTATTGTTACTCATCATTAATATTTATTATCATTGGTGTTCATGGTTATAATGTCAAGACAATCAGATAGACAAAGTTGAGTTTGTTATTTTTATTATTTTAAAATGACACTGGGCACATGACATATATATATATATATATATACACACAATCAAAATTCTATAAATAAAAAATATGTTAGCATAGAATACACTTTACTATTAGTCATACAATATATAACCCCATCTAATAATTAAGGCCTGTGTATAATATTTAGAAAACAATATAATATACAAATACTTTAGAATATATAAATAGTACAATATATAAATAGTACAATATATAAATATAGAGATACCAATGTGGAATTGTATAAAATATATAAATGCAGTATATATAGAAAACTAAATAGAATTATATATAATACAATCTATAAATAATACTATATAAAATAAATACTATATAAAAAACAACAACAGAATATTCAAATTATACTATAGAATAATATTTAGATGCGTAATGCTAAAATAATTCACAGGCCAGCTTCTGTGGTCTCCACCGTGACTCGATCTGCACCAACTCGTGGATGATGAGTTCCTAAGTACTTCTGGTCTGCTTCCAGTCTTTTTTGTAGCACCCCACACAGCGCAGACAAAGCTTTACTACGGGTTGGAGGCCGAACAACCCACACCGTCTTTCTATCCAAGATGGCATCCTCCTCTTCAGACATTTGGTCAACTGTTGCAGTCTTCCAGATAGCTGCCTCTTCCTCTGTCTGGAGAACACCAGTCCTGCTGCTCAGCAGCTGCAAAATGGGAGGGAAAAAAGAAATTAAACCACTGAAATTATCAAATGGGTTGGGATGGGAGCCTTTTAGTCTTTTACTGAGATTTATATTTATTTATACTTACTCTTCTTTTTCTTTGTCTCGTGCGAGCAATGATCCTGCTGTCCTCCATCTTCTCTTTGTTCTCATCTTGGGCCATCCTGTAACCCCTTCGAACAGTTTCAAAATATGTCTTGCAGGATGCTAGAGAGAGGGAGATAGTGAGGGGGGAGAATGTGTTTATTTATAACTAACTAGTCTATACAGTTAAATAGTTGTAGTCTTGGTATATTCTCTTGTGACTTACCTTTAACAACAGCAGGATCTACGTCCGGTACAGCCATGGAGACGCCATTAAAGAGATAGGTTGTGACCTCGAGGTTGTGGGGGGAGGATAGACTGTGGAGCAGTACCGGTAATTAAAGAAGGTTGATTAAAAATATAATTTGAAACAATAGTTTTAAAGATATAAGTTACCTTGTCTGTGGGTCATATTTGTGTGTGTTGTTTTCCCCATTGTGCAATCTGCGTACAGCTTCCTGTAAAAATCCAACATAGTATGAGAGCTCAATTCAAATACATTAATAAATAAAGCACACAAAGTTAAGCGGACACCGCAAAATGTTTGTGACTTAAAAAACTAAAATAAATAAAATAACTTACCGCAACAGATTTATTCCCAGCTCTCTTTAATTTCTTCGAAGCAGGCTCCTCTCTTGCCTCTTTGAGCTCATTGATGTCCGCCTCCATCTTAACCAATCTCTTGTCCATCGTCTCCAGCTTTTCAAATATCCGCTTCAAACTTGCATTCACCATATTCACCAGTCGGTTTTCGTTCGGACTCGGAGTTTGAAAAGCCACGTTGTCCCGGCGTAAAGGAGTAACATCTCTACTCTGCTCTCCGTAAAACTCCAACGTTCTTTTGCAAGCCATCTTCGCGTTGTAAATAGGATACGGCGTACCTTTACTAACCTGTATATTTTAGATATCTTTTGTTTTATACATACTGGTAACACCCATCCACAAACAAAATTTGCCGCCTCTAAAGTTTTCAGGTAATGCTATTGGTTACTTTCACTGACACAAAACATAAACTGATTCCGTTGGTTGGAACTGGATGACGTCATTGTATTTCATCCAATTGCACGCTTGGAAAGTAGAAATACGGAAATCAAGCACTGTAGCGAAATAAACACAGCAACCTCAGTCACTCCTCAGTTTATCAGAAACATCAAACTACCGGATCGATAAAGGGTTTAACAATGTCTGCTCTGACGGAAATTTAAAAGAAGAAGAAGAACGGACCGGATTGCGAATCCCGATTTATTACAGAAGCGAATCGTAAAAAAAATAATCTGTTTGCTTTCAAGCCATGGAGGGAACAAGGAAACGGAAGAGACAGTTTTGTGGTCATTGTAAAGATTTCGTTTCACATACGCTTTTTTATTCGCACAAGAAAACATATTTTTTAAATGGAGTTTGGATAAAAGACGCTACCGATAGGCCTACTCTGCGTGTTTCAGAAAGTTTGTTTATCACGCAACCAGAGGACAACGAACATGAACAACAACCGGAAAATGATGTGGACAACACTCTGCAAGGTATGAATAGGTTGTTTTCAGTAATTATAATTATGCCCAGTTCATTTCTATTTGAAATTTGAAAGCTATACTACCCAGCTGTAGTTTCAGTCATTATTTTACCCTGAACTAAGCCATGTGGAGGCGTAAATGCATATGGTAACCAAGCAACGTTAGCAGACTTGGGACCAGCTGACCACTTACGTCTTAACAAATCATGAATGCATACATGATAAATATATCCAAAGTAACATTACAAGTAATTATTTTTCACTAAAAATCTACTCAAGTAAAAGTACAAATATGTTGCATTCAAACTAAGTTACTTGTGGGATACCACAAACGTTTGACCAAAGTTACTGGAGAACATTCTTTATTTGTTACATTTTGTGAGAAATATTGTGTAAAATGGCTCGTTTTTCTGTTATAGAGAACTTTGATTATGAAGATCTCAAGCTTCCCCTGGGTGCCAGTGACTCTTCAGATACTGCCAGTGCTCCACTGTTGCCATCAACTGTGTTTTGTATGCAGCAAGGGGACAAACAGACTGATATACAAGACCAAGAACTGTACGAGGACTGCACTTTGCAAGGTAAGATTGTGCACCTGTCAATAGTCTCAAAGCCTGTAACTTATAACCTACCATAATTCTTTGGAGACTGTTACTGTGCTAAAGCACCCAGAGAAGTCTGTGGTACTTCTTTTGTATTTACAATAGTTTGAATGTATGATTACTCCTGTCCTCCTTAGTGATGATTTTGTTTGTGTGGTTTTCAGAGGTGTCAAAAGTATTCACATTCTTTACTCAAGTAAAAGTATAGATACTAGGTTTTAGAAAAGACTTCTGTAGAAGTTGAAGTATCAACTCAAGCTTTTTTCTAAGTAAAAGTGTAAAAGTACTGGTTTCAAAAACTACTTAAAGTATTAAAGTAAAATTTCTACTTAAGTAAGGTAACAAAGTATTTGTACTTAGTTACTTGACACTTCTGGTGGTTTTAAAATGGGTGTTGTGTTTGGGTTTCAGATGACAATGATGATGAAGACTTCAAGCTTTTCCTGAGTGCCAGTGACAGTGAGTCTTCAGATGAAGATGGCTACTATGACCAGGCAGACAGTTTCATGGAAGAGGATCAGCTTGAAGAGACTGACATTTTTGGGGAGGAAAATATGGATGCAGATGGGTTCAGGGTCACAGAAGACAGCCCTGAACATTTGATGTTGAAACTGCTTGCATTTATGCTTTTGGCATGGCAAGCTGTTTTCAAAATATCAGACCGTGCAATTTTTGCACTCTTGCAGTGCATAAGACAATTAATTTGGCTCATGGGACATATTCTGTGTGTGAACACACTCTGTGGGCTGGCTGGAAAGATCCCTAAGACTTTATATTCACTCAGGAAATGGACTAACATCTGCAGAGACAGCTTTAGCCAGTTTGTGGTATGCCCAAAGTGTATGGTAACATACACAATTGAGGAATCATACACCACCTCTAGATCCGGTGCAAAAATCATCAACACTTGTTCTTCTAGACCTTTCCACAAACACCCACAAAAAAAATTAAGAAGCAAATGTGGAACTCCTTTGATGAGAAAGCTTATTGGCTCAAGTGGTAAAGAATACCTGTATCCCATCCGTGTCTACTGTTACAAAAAGGTCCGTCAGTCTTTGGAGACTTTGGTGAGAAGGTCTGGATTTTTGGAGAAATGTGAGCAATGGAGACACCGCAGCATGCCTGACTCTGTCATGGGGGATGTATATGATGGGAAAATCTGGCAGGACTTTCAATATGTAAATGGTCAACCATTTCTATCAGAACCTAATAATTTTGCACTGATGATGAATGTTGACTGGTACCAACCCTATAAGCACTCCCCATATTCAGTCGGTGTTATATATCTTGTCGTTTTGAATTTGCCGAGAGAGGAACGCTTCAAAGATGAAAACATGATTTTAGTTGGAGTGATACCAGGACCCAAAGAACCCAAACTCAACATGAATGCATATCTTGAGCCCTTGGTTGATGACCTCCGAGAATTGTGGGAAGGAGTTGTTCTAATGGACTCTTCACCCTTGGGATGCCAGGTTTACAGAGCAGCATTACTCTGCCTCTCATCTGATATTCCAGCTTCCCGCAAGTGTGGTGGTTTTGTTGGCCATGGAGCACTAAGAGGTAAATTCTGATTTATTATGCTGTTTCACACTATTGCTCAGCTTTTTCCTATTGTGTGCAATAAATCTAACTTTAAAACAATTATTATCTTTTCAGGATGTAACAAGTGTCTAAAGAAATTCACGAAAACATCTTTTGGGGGAAAAACGGACTTCTCCGGATTTGACAGATCAACCTGGACTCTGCGCACCTCTGAGGAACACAAAAGATTTGCAAAGATGACAGAGAAGGCTACTACAAAGGCAGCCCAGAAGAAACTGGAAGCGCAGTATGGTGCCAGGTGGTCTGAACTGTTCTTCCTGCCATACTATGATGCCATCCGGTTTGTTGTCATTGATCCCATGCACAATTTACTCCTCGGAACTGCTAGACATGTTTTCAAACTCTGGATTGAGTGTGGGGTATTAAGTATCCAGAAGCTTGAAGAACTCCAAAAAAGAATGGACTCTCTCAAGGTGCCACAGGATGTTGGAAGGATTCCTCTCAGAATTGCATCAGGGTTTAGCGGGTTTACAGCAGACCAGTGGAAAAACTGGACAACCATCTATTCATTGTTTTGTTTAAAAGGCTTGATTGAGGATCCAGATTATGATATGTGGTTTGATTTTGTGCAAGCCTGCATTATTATGTGTTCAAGGGTCATCTCACATGATAGGCTTGAAGTAGCTGACTGTTACTTGCAAACATTTTTGTCGAAGTTTGTTGAACTGTATGGATCTCTTCATTGCACACCTAACATGCACTTACATTTACATTTAAAAGAATGCTTGTTAGATTATGGTCCCGTCTATGCCTTTTGGTGTTTCTCATTTGAGCGGTTAAATGGAATGTTGGGACAGTATCATAACAACAACAGAAATATTGAGGTTCAGGTCATGAGAAATTTCCAACAATGTCAACAGCTCCAGATGCCACTGCAAAGCGCCTATGCAACTGAATTCATCAACATCCTGTCTACAAAAGATGTGGGTTCCTTGTCAATCCATGACACCACTGATGTAATGTACATAAAACAGTATTCATGTATGTCATCTGCAACACTTGTTTTTCCAGATGTGGAGATGGTTAAAGCACTACCCCCATTTAAGAATGTAGTATTAACAGATTCAGAGAGACAAGCTTTGTTGTCAATGTACACACAAGTGTATCCTAACAGCTCCGTCTCAAAGGTTGGTCAATTAGCAAAGACATGCTTTAGAGTAAGAAGCCTTGGGGTGACTTTTTGTGTAAGAGGCAGGGCTGAAAGGTCAGCGTGTGTATCTGCAAAGTGGTGTGTTTACAATTCAAGTTTTGAAGAGCCTGTCCTTGATCCTACTGCAGAGGTGCGTCCTGGAATAGTGAAACAATTCTTTGTAATTTCTGTGAAAACACAAACTTCCATTATTCAGCATGTAGTGGCAAAAATAATGTGGCTGCACCCTCACCCAGACAGGCATTTCTTTGGAAAGCCTGTGGAAGTTTGGGGTATCAAGGGAATAGAGTCTAACATTGCCTCATCATTCCTCCCTGTTGAGCGCATTACAAGCAGATGTGTTCTCAGTACCACAACTGTGCAGTTAAGTCACACTAGGGAGAGAGTGTCTGTGGTCATTCCAATGTGTACAGTGGTAGAGATTTAAAAAAGTTGTATCTCTGAAGTGACCATTTGTGTGTGAAACATTTTTGTTTACATTGTTTTACATTGTTTATTTTGTAGGTTTTGTATTGTTTGAGTGCATTTTACACTAAATAAATTTGCATAATCCTAATGAGTATTTCTCCTTTGTTATGAAGAGCAGTGGACACCCAGATACAAACTTCTTTTAAGGTACTACAGTCTTTGTTGTAGATTGACACAATGTAAAGCACTTAGCAGCCAAATCACCTTTCCTGAATAGTAAGGAGGGGGGCAGGGGAATAGGGGCAATCTTGAGCTGCCAGTCCCAAAACAAATTAGCATTTACAAAGCCAAGCCATCAACTAACAGCAGGGGGTCAGACAAGTTCCTGTTTTCGGGCATTTGCAGGCATTTACAGGTACGCATAACAAAGTTCCAAAGCTCCATGCTAAAGAGCACATTTAGCGGGCGTATTCATTGCCTGAATTCTCCCGTTTACACCTCTTTTGACGCAGTGGCAGGGTAGTGTCCAGCTGGGCTTAAGGAGCCTTTCCATCGGGCACTAGTTTATTATTTTTTCTTTGTTGTTTTTGGAGGCGAATCCTGGGCGGAGACTGCGTTCTCCAAAGGGGGCTGGCGTTTCAGGGTTTCAACCGCTGATGTACTGCCTGTAAGTCGCCTCGAGCCCGGCAAGCTTCTGAAGATAGATAGGTAAGTTTTGGTGAGGCAGGTGCTGAGGAAGTCTGTTCTGTGGAGGGAAGTCGTGAGTTGGTTAGAGGGATTGATGTTAAACATTGGGTTATTTTATTCAGCGTGGTGATATTGTGTGTATTTTGTGTTGTGGTCATGGCCACGTTTGACTTAAATGTTTTTGTGTCCCATCCAGATTTGAACCAGTTGGATAAGTGCAAGAAAACAGAGCTCCATGCCATTGCAAATCATTACGGTATCTCTGTGTCCACTTCTCTAGTAAAATCTGAATTAAAAGCTGTAGTTTTAGATGGACTCGTTAAAAAAGGGATTATCATAATGCCGGTGACTATGGGCAGTCCTGGGAAAGAGGGGGGAGCGCTACTTGATGGAACTCCTGCTGGCCTGCAGGCAATACCGACAAGGAAACCTATAACGATACCTCAGTTTTTACCATTTTCAGTTGAGTCATCTCCTGGCGCTAAGCAGGAAAGCCGATTAAAAGTCCGTTTGTTGCGGCTTCAGATGGAGAAGGAAGAGAAAGAGAGAGATTTCCAACTCCACAGAGAGCTGGAACTTAAGAAACTAGAGGCAGATACAGCTTTTAAAATGAGACAATTGGAGTTACAAACCACTGTTGACGCTGCTCGTCCTGTTCCCGCTGTTGATAAAATATCTCCACAGCCTGCCAGTGATCATGATGTGAGCAAATATATTTCTCTGGTGCCTGTGTTTCGTGAGGCTGAAGTGGAGGTCTATTTTGGTGCATTTGAGCGTGTTGCTAGTGCTCTACGCTGGCCTAAAGAGGTGTGGGCCATCTTACTCCAGTGTAAATTGACCGGTAAGGCCCAGGAAGCGTGTGCAGCCTTGTCTGTAGAGGACGGCTTGAATTATGATCGAGTTAAAAATGCCATTCTGAGAGCTTACGAGTTAGTGCCGGAAGCATACCGACAGCGGTTTCGTGGTCTACGGAAAAGTCCCGATCAAACCTTTACAGATTTTGCTCGTGAAAAGGGGGTCCTTTTTGATCGATGGTGTGCATCGTGTAAAGCAGATGATGTGGCTGCTATACGTGAGCTTATTTTGCTCGAGGATTTTAAGAACAGTTTGCCAGAGCGTACTGCTGTATATCTAGGGGAACAAAAGATTGTTTCTCTACAGCAGGCAGCCATATTCGCAGATGAGTTTGCGCTTTTGCATAAGACCACTTTTACTAAGCGTGAGGTTTCGTCACGAGTAGGGTTTCAAAGGACTGAGCAGCCGGTGCATAATCCCCTTGACAGTCGTCCCAAGGGGTCCCCTATTCAGAAGGCGGACAGAGTTTGTTTTTTTTGTCGCAAGGCTGGACACTTAATTGCTGACTGCAGGGCTTGGAAGGGACAGCAACCTAGTGCAAATCAAAAGCAACCAAAGGGTGTGGGGTTAATCAAAACTTCTCCCCGACTCCTGGGGCTAGAATCAAAGATGCGTGAGGCAGCAGATGACTGTTTTAAACCTTTTATTTCTGAAGGTTTTGTCTCTCTGACAGGGAAAGCAGAAGATCAGCAGCGGGTGAGGATACTGCGGGACACAGCCTGTTCGCAATCGCTAATGCTATCTGGCACTCTCCCCGTGGGTGATAGTTCAGATGTAAGTGCAGTCGTGAGAGGTATTGAGATGGGTTTTGTACCAGCTCCACTACACCAGATTTTTCTCCGTTCTGATTTAGTGACTGGATTTTTCACGGTGGGGGTACGTGCAGAGTTTCCGATAGAGGGCATTGAAATAATAATGGGGAACGACATTGCTGGGGGAAAAGTGTTTCCTATACCTAAAGTAGTCAACAAGCCTATACCTGAGTCTGAAGAGGATGAGTTGGGGAAAACCCATCCTCATATTTTTGTAGCCAGCATGACTACGAGAGCACAGTCTCGTAAGCGGACCCAGGAAATTAACCTGTCTGACTCACTTTTTGCCCCCATTTTCTCTGAAAAAGGGTTGCCCCATGATGATCCGGTAAGTGATAAGGTGGACGGAACGGAGAGCGTAGTGGAATCTGTGGGTGAGTTAAATCTTGCACATTTACCGCTCACTGCTGATGCGCTGGTAAAAGCTCAAAGGTGTGATCCATCACTGATTAAATGTTTGGCATCAGTAAAAGCAGATAAATCGGAGTGTAACGGTAAGCAACCTTTCTTTGTGGATAACGGGGTACTGATGCGCCGATGGGTTTCTCGGGCAGATGATGCAGGGATGGAACCGGATGGTGATTGGAAAGTAGTTTACCAGGTAGTTGCACCTGTTGACTGTCGGCAGCAGATCTTGTCATTAGCACATGAGCATGTATGGGCAGGTCATTTGGGTATTAGTAAAACTTACCACCGTGTACTACAGCAGTTCTTTTGGCCAGGTTTAAAAACCGATGTAACCCGTTTTTGTAAAACCTGTAAGACCTGCCAGATTGTCGGAAAACCAAACCAGCCTGTCCCCCTGGCCCCGTTGCGGCCCATTCCCGTGGTTGGTGAACCATTCGAACACGTCATGGTTGATTGTGTGGGTCCGTTACCTAAAACCAAAGCGGGTAATCAGTTCCTACTCACCATGATGTGTGTGGCCACCAGATTTCCCGAAGCCATTCCCCTGCGTAGAATCACTGCTGTGTCAGTAACTAGGGCCCTGATCAAATTTTTTACTACCTATGGTTTGCCCAAGATGGTACAGACTGATCAGGGAACTAATTTCCTCTCGAAGGTGTTTAAACAAACTCTCAGCTCATTGGGAATCGCTCACTCAGTGTCCAGTGCCTATCATCCCGAGTCACAGGGAGTTTTGGAGCGTTGGCACCAAACATTGAAATCCATGCTCAAGAAATATTGCCATGAAACGTGTAAAGACTGGGATGAAGGGGTGCCTTTTGTACTTTTTGCTGCTCGTGATACAAAGCAAGAGTCTTTAGGTTTTAGCCCAGCCGAGCTTGTGTTTGGCCATAACGTGCGGGGACCGTTAAAGATGCTGAGAGAGAGAATGATGCATGATGGGTCTTCCAAAACTAATGTGTTGGATTTTGTTTCCCGGTGCAGGGAGCGACATCGTGCAGTGGAGCTGGCAAGGGAATCCCTGTCTTCCACGCAAAAGCGTATGAAACTGCGGTTTGATAAAAAGGCAGTGGAACGAGAGTTCAAGGCAGGTGACAAAGTGTTAGTCTTGCTGCCCGTCCCGGGGTCTGCCCTCACTGCTAAATTCTCAGGGCCATATGTTGTGGAAAGGAAGCTTTCAGAGACAGATTATATAATTCGTACACCTGACCGTAGACGGAAGACACGCCTATGTCATGTAAATATGTTGAAGTTTTTTCATTCCAGAGATGGCGATCTGGTGGAACCGGTGCAGACTCCAACAGTGGCAGTAGTGGGAGCCGCCATAATCACTAGTACATCTCTCAGTGATGGATCTGACGTTGACCTAGCAACTCCGTGTGAAGATCACCTATGTGGCAGGCTGGCTAACTCTGAGTTTATGGCTACTTTGGATCAACAATTGTCTTACTTACCCACATCTCAACGGCAGGATGTGATTGATTTACTTCATACTCACCCTAACATCTTAGGTAATGTGCCCTCTCGCACCACCGTACTAGAGCACGATATTAACGTGGGGGATGCTAGACCTATTAAGCAGCACGCGTATCGCTCTCCGATAACAAAGCGGGAAGCGATGCGTAAGGAAGTCAGTTATCTAGTCGAACATGGACTAGCAACGGCTAGTTACAGTCCGTGGAGCTCACCCTGTCTGTTAACGGTTAAGTCTGATGGGACGTTTCGTTTCTGTACCGATTTTAGAAAGGTGAATGCTGTTACGGTGACTGACTCATTTCCGTTGCCCCGCATGGATGACTTAATTGATAGGGTTGGACCAGCTAAATGTATCACAAAGCTGGATCTGCTGAAGGGATACTGGCAGGTGCCTTTGACCCAACGTGCTTCAGAGATCTCTGCCTTTGTGACACCCGACGCATTCATGCAGTACACTGTAATGCCCTTTGGGGTGAAAAATGCTCCTGCCACTTTTCAACGCCTGATGCAGCTTGTACTGGGAAATCTGCCCAATTGTAGTGTATATCTCGATGATGTAGTCGTGTACACCGAGGACTGGGGCAGCCACATGTCCAGTTTGGGGATAGTGTGTCAGCGGTTGGCAGACGCCTCTCTCACACCGCGATTTTATCGTTACCAACTCCCACCACTAGACGTGAACTTAGGAGATTCCTAGGTATGGTAGGATATTATAGGTGTTTCTGCCAAAACTTTTCGGTGGTAGTTGCTCCACTCACCAGACTGTGTAGTCCTCTAGTACCTTTTGTGTGGGATGACGTGTGTGATCGGGCTTTTGAAGCTGCCAAGTCTCTTCTGTGCAGTGCACCTGTACTGGTAGCGCCTGATGTTTCCCAACCTTTTCTATTGGAAGTTGATGCTAGTA